TGTATATGTATAACTGATTCACTTTGTTATAAAGCAGAAACTAACACACCACTGTAAAGCAATTATACCCCAATAAAGATGTTTAAAAAAAAAAACAAAAAACATTATGCATGATACCGGAGAAGAATAGTTAATTACGTACAAAGTTACTTAGTATATGCAGTTAAGAAAAAAATTGTTATGAAACTATAATATACTATGATAACATTTATATAAAATAAAATGTATATATTTGGATAAAAAAAAAAAAAAAAAAAGATTCTGTGCCGAGCATGTCAAGACAACAACGATTAAAGAGCTTACAGAGGCTGAGCTTAGAGAGCTTAAAGCTACTATAAGAAAGAAAAGATGCACTTAAATAACTGGTGTGTATGGCAGAATGTGGTAAGTACCGGAGTTCTCCAGGTCCTACCAGCTGGGAGGACGAGAAGCAGTTCTCAATCCAGGTGGCCTTAAGAGCCGAGAGGGAGTTTAACCTGGAGGCCAAGGAGAAGGACCGTCGCTCTTGGAGAACTAAGACTAGGAAAGTACAGGGACCCAGGGTGGAGGGAGTCCGAATTCACTTGGAAGCAAAAAGCCACTGCAAGACTTTGAGAACCATGCTATCACCCTTCTAAAATATACGTTTAAGATGGTCACAGGGTGAGCCAAGTAGGAGAGGGGCTTGGTTTTGCTAAATAGACCTCTAACATCTATTTTCCGAAACAGTCTCTTGCTTCAAAATATCTCTAAGCTCCCACTGAATGTTCAGCCAGACTGGCATTGAAAGCATAACCGTGGGATGAAATGTTTTTCACGTGAAAAAGTGGACAGTGTGGATGTGCTGGACCAGCTCTGAGCTGGCTGGAGATCTAGGCGAACGGCAGAAAGGCCTTATTAGCGTACCTGTAGGTGCAGAGGGCCTGGGCAGGGCCCTTGCGTGTTGAGCCCTCCTCCTGGGCCCGGGTTCAGGGCGGCACCATCAGAGATGCTGAGAGTACCCTGAAAGGGGGCAGCCCACATCGTCCTGGAAGCTTGAGCGAGAGTCCGGGTGGGACAGGGCCCCTCAGTAACTCACCGGTGACGAAGAAGGCCTTGTACCGCTCCACGCGGACAGTCTGAAGGGCTCCGTCCTCTCCGGCCGCCCCACTGTTGGGGTGAAACAGCACCTGGGAAAGGGGGGCAGGGCTTACAAACAAGAAAACCATGCTAGAGGCTCCCTGGAAAGCATTACTTCCTTTTTTCTTTTTTTTTGGCTGTGCTGTGTGGCATGCGGGATCTTAGTTCCATTGGAAGCGCAGAGTCTTAACCACTGGACCGCCAGGGAAGTCTCAGCATTACTTTCTTTGTCGTGGTCCCTGTTCCCCGTCACCCGCCAAACCCACCCTCTGACACCCAGCCCAGCCCCAAACATAGACACAGGCCTGTGGTCTACACCATCCAACTCCCGGGAGCCTGTGTGAAAGAGCTCTTTTGCTAGTCAATTAATCGGAGTGGGTTACAGCTCTGCTTGGATTCCTAGGCCCAGTACTAGCCATGTCATCTGCAGGGTCCAGTGCAAGATGAGAATGAGAGAAACCTTGTCCAAAAATTAAGAATTTCAACTGTAGAGCACAAGGAATTATAATAAATATCCTGTGATAAACCGGAATGGAAAAGAACATGAAAAAGAACGTATATGTGTGTAACCGAATCACCGTGCTGTGCAGAAGTTAACCCAACATTGTACATCAACTGTCCTTCAGCAAAATAAATTTCCTTTTCTAAAAAAATTTTTCTTCATTTATTTTTGGCTGCATTGGGTCTTCGTTGCTGCACGCGGGCTTTCTCTAGTTGCGGTGAGCGGGGGCTACTCTTCATTGCGGTGTGCGGGCTTCTCATGGCGGTGGCTTCTCTTGTTGTGGAGCACAGGCTCTAGGTGCATGGGTTTCAGTAGTTGTGGCACATGGGCTCAGTAGTCATAGCTCGCGGGCTCAGTAGTTGCGGCTCGCAGCCTCTAGAGCGCAGGCTCAGTAGTTGCAGCGCACGGGCTTGGTTGCTTTGCGGCATGTGAGATCTTCCCGGACCAGGGCTCGAACCCACGTCCCCTGCCTTGGCAGGAGGATTCTTAACCACTGTGCCACTGGGGAAGTCCCAAAATAAATTTCTTAAAAAGCTATTTTCTTTTAATTACTACCCCCCCCACACACACACACAAAAAAATAAGAATTTCAAGGTGGCCACAGCACGTGTGCTTTAAAGCAAGCACAGGGTCGTTCTAAGTGCGGGTCCCTCTGTGACAGCAGGGGTCACCCACCCAGGAGGCTGGCCCCTGCCTGAGCCCCACCCCTCAGGGTCAAGACGGGGCCTGGGATCTGCATGTTTTAGAAATATTCCCAGGGAGCCTGACACAGATCGGTGGTGATCCTTGGATCTCTTAGAAAAACAGCTTCTTCAGCATCCAGTCGACTCTCCAACTCTCACGTGAGGGCGTCTCTGTGTGACTTCTCCAGAACCGTGCACGGCCTTCCCTCCAAACACAGATCACCTTTGACTCCGTCCTACCACACTCAGACCGAGCAAGTCATCAATGAATGGAATCACCCTCCAACTCCGCGCTTCCACTGCAGGGGGCACGAGTTCGATCCCTGGTCGGGGAACTAAGGTCCTGCAAGCCAAGTGGCGTGGCCCCCCCAAAAAATAAAAAGAATCACCCTTCAGAATGGAAACACCTAGTTCAGGGTTCCCAAGGACAAGGTTTGATAGAAAATAAATGACCAGCATCCTTGGCAAGTTGGTGGCTTTGGGCTGGAAACGTGAGACCGCCTTGGTATGAATCATGACCGATACATATCACTGGAAAGGCGCTTACGTGATTCAAAGTTTCCATGGAGCTAAAAAAAAAAAAAAAAATGAGAAACATCTGTTGGAGCGGTAAACAGCTGTCCCCCCAAGTTTCCCGGCTCTGTAAAGGATGCCAGCGAGGGTGGGGCTCCTCCCACACCTGCTGCTTCCGTGCTCTCGTGACAGGGCCTGCCAGGTCCCCAGCCGGCGTGATGACAGCAGGCTCCTTCCAAACAGGAAGAGAAGTCGTAACTCAAAACCCTCACTTCTTCCAACCCTGAAGGAAGCCAAGCCTCTCACCACAGGAGGCTGTTTTGTTTCCTTCTGGAGAGGGCAGGAAGTGGGGGACTTGGGAAATCTATTGTCAACAGATCTAGGATGTACTCAGACATCCAGGAGATGGGAGCCCAGGCCCGCGGGTTCGAGCCATTGACATTATGGCTCAGTAACAGAAACAGAAATTCCGTAAGCGGCGGCTGCCGTGTGCAGGACATTCATTTGGTGTCACCAGGCGCCACTTCCAGAATCCAAGAGCAAGCAAAATGGCTCGCTCTCGGGAGGGCGGATGGATCTTGGAGAACTCGTATGTGCCCTGCCTTTCCCCTCTGAGCAGACTGATGGTGGCGTTCTTGTTTATATCAACATAGGAAGGAGGTTGGCAAATTTACACATGAATCACAGCTGAAGACATTTCCTCTCCAGAGGACACCCGGTCCGAATTGCAAAGATAACTTTATCTTCTGCAAACACGTTGCATCTTCTTGGTTGCCTTTCTTACCTGTTTGCTTTGTTTTCTTTTGTTTTGCTTTTTCAACCAGGGAGCGTCTCCTTACCTCTCTGGAGGCTGGTGCCTGGGTAGCCTCCCCAGAAGGAGGGGTCTCCCACCCCTTCAGGTCTGGGTGCACAGACCCAGGTCTCCAAAAGCCGTCAACCTCGCGCCAGCCGCTCCAGACAGCATCTTTTGCCACTAGGGGGCCTCCCTTATCCCTAAGAGAAGTGATCAGCGGTGCAGAGACCAAGACCCGACTTCCGTTTCTACAATGTATGGTCTCCAGGGATGGACCAAGCATTGTATGACTACTACACAGCCCCAGACTGGTCGTGACAGGACAGATGCAGAGCCATTAAGAAGCCTTCCCTCGGCTGACAGCTTCTGGACTTGGTCATGGCAACCTGGGGCTGAGGTAGGACTTGACCAGCAGTGATGCTGCAACCTCCAAATTCCATCCGGGAAGCAGGCGAGCCTAGAGTGGGATGCCTGCCCCCAGGCTGTGCACCCTCTCCTGCCCGCTCCCCTCTCCCCCTTTGTGGTTGCCCTCGTTGCCTGGACACAGACCCCTCTAGATCAGAAGCAGAAGGGTCTGCAAGTGCAGGAATACACGGCATGGCATCAGCGACCCTAGCTGTCCATGAAGTGGGTGGCGAGACCGCTCACAGCAGGAAGACCTATAGCCCAGCATTTGCCTGTAAATCTCTCAACGCGGGACCTGGGGAGGGTGCCAGGGCTTACGTGGCCCTAGGTTGCTTCAGCTCTTCGACTTTCCGTTACTCGTTTGCAAAATAGGGAAGAACCCAACCGCTGAGACTTTTTGCATATTGTTTTGAGATGACGGTCTAGGAGCTACTTTGAGCTTCTTGAAACTGGAATGGTTTTCTAAACCAACCCCATACTCGAATCTTGTAAGCCCAGCATATACCTAAGGGTGAACACAGCTGCGTTTATTAACATATACATGTGTATGCTGTGGGAACTAATCAATATATTCTAATTTGAGTATTAAGGAATGTTCCAAACAGGTGGCAACGTTTAAATCTAACCTTTAAGGCTGTTATACACAGTTGGATGCCCCAGAATGATACGGTGCCTTGCACGTGATCGTTACTCAATAAATGATTACTGAATACCAAAACCAAAACAAGGGACTTCCCTGGCGGTCCAGTGGTTAAGACTCCACACTTCAACTCTGGGGGCGCCAGGCTTGATCCCTGGTCGGGGAACTAAGATCCTGTACACTGCACCAAAACCCAAAGGCAAAAAGCACGCGAATACGTGCACGTGTGTGTGTACCCACGTGTATATGTGTGCATAGGTATGTATATTTCTACAGTCACTCATACATTTTTCCCTCCTGGCCCTCCATCAGCAGACTCGAGACAATGTACTCCGGTCTCCGCAGTGGCTGAATCTGGGGCCAGCGGCGGCCTACGTTGAGCTCTAAGGTGTCTGGACTAACGCTGCAGGAGCCCAGCCCTCTGGGGCGCTGGGCCGGGCCCACAGGTGCCAGCGCCCACGTGCCTCTACCCTGGAAGGTGCCACCAGAGCTCTGGGCGAGCGGCGAGTGGCAGCTGTCCCCTCCCGGGACACGGGGCAGCCCACACACATCACACGTCCCCACGAAAACCCCAGCCGGTGTTGCGGCTCGTATCTGTCTCTCCTGCCTGTCCCTGGGCCCAGCCCCCTGGGGGCCCAGACCAGCAACCGCGAAGCCCTGAAGCGGGGCCTCCGTGGGTGCGCGGAGAGCGGCAGCTTGAGAAAGGCGGCGAGCCCTCCGCCGTCTGGAAACGGAAGTTCCGCACCCGGGAGCTGGCCTCCCCCTGTGGACGAACAGCGTCAAGGCGCCCCCAGTCCTTGAAGCGCTTCCTGGTGACCCCGATCATTCTGTGCGCGGCCGTGGTCATAAACACGCGGGAGCATCTCTCCGCTGACGTCGTCGATAACCCCCCAGGGTCACATACTGCGAACTCCCAGCCAGAGGCGGAAGCCACCTTCCTGCTTGGCTGTCCTGCGGGAGCAGGGCTCGGCCTGGAAGGGTCTGCAGCTCCAGGGGGTCGGATAGGCCGGGAGCAGCCGTCCTGCTCTAGAGGCCACTCCGAGCATCGTCAAGAAGCCCTGGTGCCCGCTCAGGACCAGTGTGCCGGCCGTGGGGAAGGGCAGCTTCAGGAACTGCCCCAGGACATTTGACTCACTTCCATGTGACCCGCAGTAAAGCCAGAAATAAACCCTTTGATGTGTGGGTCCCTAACTGAGGAGCCGGGCTCACGGGGCCTTCCAGAAAGAGCTCCGGGTTCCGCCGGCCTCCTTCCTCCTCCCCCTTCCTCTTCCTTTTGGCAAAAGTAAAACACACAGAAAGGCAGAGAAAGGCCATCCGGCCTGACATTTCCTGGCTGTCGCTGCCACCGAGTGCTTCAGAGCACCCCGAAGAGGGGACCCTGGGGGCTGGAGAGCCGTGTGTGTGCTGAGCCCTCGAGGACCGGCCCTGCCACCCAGGGCATCTTTCCTTCATTTGTTTATTCATCCAGTCCTCGTTTATTGCACGCTGGCCGGACGCCAGACCCTGTGTTAGGTGTTCTGAGAATTCCATGGTGAGCTCCCTGACCTTGGGAAGCTTCCGTTCTGGCCGGGGAACCCCACGATACACAACTCACAGACACAGGTCATGCACCCCATCCCACAAAAGTGTGCCGCGTGCCTAGGGCATGTCAGAAAATTAAATGATGGTGAGGGGAAAAGTCATTCGGTACAGGGAATAAGCCCCAATGCACGCCCACCCTACACCAAAACTGCTGCACAGAAGTCTGGACTGAGGAACTGGACTGACTCAGGAAGAAGAGGGGGAGAGGAAGGACAGGTTCATCTCAGAGGAATCACCCCTCGGCGGCTGACAGACTGGATCTCCAGGGGCCACTTGCAGGCGCCTTCTGACGATGGTTCTGTTCGTGTAGAGGCAGCCAGGCCCCGATAAGGGGCAGGGGTCCCACCTCTGGAGAAGCCCAGGTGGGACACGTACCACCTCCACTTACCCTGTGCCCAGCCTGCGCCCTGCCGAACAGCACCTCCGAGGCATCCAGACCGTCAAAGTGTCGGCCTTGGGGCAGGCTGGCCCCAGCCAGGGCCACCACGGTGGGGAAGATGTCCAGCACGCTGCAGGAAGATCAAGACAGTGTTGGCCCCAGCTGTCCCCAGGCTCTCTCCCTGGCCGTGCTGGGGTCAAGAGCCGCCCAGCCCAGCCCAGACCGAGCCCCGGCAGCCTCCCATACAGCCCGCCCCCTCTGCCTCCTGTCCTGCCTTCAAGCCCCACCTGGATTTCCTACAGGAGCAGCACCCAGGCTCTGCAGCCAGGTGTTGCCTGGGCTCAAATCTCAGCTCGGCCATCTATCTCTCTAGCCCTCAGTTTTCTGTTCTCTAAAATGGGCATGATAGGGGACTTCCCCGGCGGTCCAGTGGTTAGGACTCCGCACTTCCACTGCAGGGGGCACGGGTTCAATCGCTGGTCGGGGAGCTAAGATCCAGCAAGCCTCGCAGTGTGGCCAAAAAAATAAAATGGGCATGATAATAACAGTACCTGCCTCACTGGGTGGCAGTGTGGATGAAAGACACAGGTCATGCACGTAGAGGGCCTGGCACTCAGAGTGCTCACTGGATGTCTGTTATAGTCACTCACAGGGACACCCCTGCAGACCTACCTAAGAACTAGGGGGCTCTAATAAAAAGGAATGAAATAGTGCCATTTGCAGAGACATGGATGGACCTAGAGACTGTCATACAGAGTGAAGTAAGTCAGAAAGAGAAAAACAAATATCGTATAATATTGCTTACATGTGGAATCTAGAAAAATGGTACAGATGAACTTATCGGCAAAGCAGAAATAAAGTCACAGATGTAGAGAACAAACTTATGGTTACCGAGGGGGGAAAGGGGGGTGGTGGGATGAAATGGGAGAGTGGGACTGACATATACACGCTACTACGTATAAAACAGATGACTAATGAGAACCTGCCGTAGAGCACAGGGGACTCTACTCCATGCTCTGTGGTGACCTGAATGCGAAAAAAATCTAAAAAGGAGTGGATATATGTATATGTATAATTGATTCACTTTGCTGTACACCTGAAACTAACACAACATTGTAAATCAACTCTACTCCAATATAAAATTAATTTAAAAATAAAAGTTAAAAAAAAAGAAGAACCAAGGAGCTCTACCTGTCACCACCTAGGCCACCGCCACCCGCTGAGAGGGAACAGTGTGTGACAGGTGTCTGCAAGAGAACATTTACTTCATTTTTCCCACCCTGGGTCTCCGTGTCGCAAATAGCTAGTCTTTGTCTAGAATGCCGTCATGTGTGACACAGTCCACCCGCTTTCATTTAGCTCTGTTATTCCTGTTACAAAATAGTCAGTGTTCAGGGTGGGCAAATTGGATGACATCCAGAAATACGAAGAAGCAGCACACACACAGCCCCCCGCCTGAAGGCAGCCACTGTGAACACGTTGGTGGATTTTGTGAATTTGATTTTCTTTGAAGTCACGTGGTACCATTTCCCTCTGCTGTAGGGCACATCTCCCTCCAGCCTGCTGTGCTCAGGTCAGACAAAAACTCTTCGGCAAGAACAGAGCTGTTTATCTGAGGGCCAGGCTAACGGATAGTCGGTGGGACTCGACAGAACCGGAGGGCCAGGCCCGCACGAGGCTGGACATCTCGGGAAAGAGGGTCCACCTGAGGCTGGGCTCATGGGGAGGCCTCCAGGCCCCACCTGCTGCTTCCCCAGCCCAGAGTCCCGGGAGCGGAGGCTCGCCCCCCAAGATGGGCCGCGGAAGGGAACTGCCACGTGCCCGCCTCCCCTTCTCCTCTGCTCCAGGGCTCTGTCTACAGCCCCAAGCAGGATCTCTCCCTCGACTACGGTACAGAGCGTCTCTGGTCTGCCTCTGGCTTCCACAGTTCACAGAGCCAGTGGCTTATCTCTCGCAATGCACGCTCCAGGAGCTGGCACCCCACGCGCATGCAAGTGCAAGAAGTGCACAGTAAGCCCTTGTGGAGTACAGAACGGTCCAGAAACCTGTCCAGAGTCCAAGGTCCCTGCCAGAAATCAGGCAGCCCGGAGGACCGCAGTGCAGGCTGAAGAGGCCGGGGTGGCCGGCACTGCTGTTTGGAGTTTTCTCTCCGTTGCACCCGTAAGAGAGGCGTGCCTCCCAGAGGAGTCAGGTCAGTGGCAGAAGAACAGGCTCTGCCTTAGATTTGGGGGTGTGCGGTACATTTTCTTTTCCCGTCTTATTCCCCCCTCCGTCATCGTGAGGCTTAGCATCCTCATTATACAGCACAGAGTCTAATGTTCATGGAGTCCTAGTGTCTCAGAATCGGGCAGGAACCTCCAGAGCACAGAGGAAAGCTCGGGTCCGCAACAAAAGCTTCTGCATCTCCAGGACTTGCCAGTCCAAGCTCAGGCTACCAAAGAGTCCTTCCTTACGTAAAGGAGGAAAACAAGCCCCCGAGGGGAGCCCTGGAGGAGGGAGATCCTCCTGGGACACAGAGCCCCAGACCCTGGGCCCCTGCGTGAACTTGGAGAAAGCATCAGTCCTGCAAAGGCTACCAAAGGGACCCCGCTACTCCAATGCCTCCCTAAGGAATTGGTCCCAAGAGTCTTGGAAACCTTGGGGAAAGAGACCAAAAAACCCCAAACCTAATTTTCAAATTTCCACAGTTCATTCTAATACCTGGGAAGGCGCATTCCGACTTTCATGGAACCTCAGTCCGTTTGCCTTTGTGGTTCCTTATTCCATTATAAAATACTCAAAATTATATTTTACAATTCTGTTGACATAAAGATTATATAAATATATAAAGAGGAGATATTAAGCCATTTTTCTTCAACCTAAAAGTTTTTGTTTTTTCTTCTGGTTTCAAAGAAAATGCAAAGGTCGTGTGCCCCCAGCACTGCGCCTCCAGCCCCGATGGGCAAATCGGCCTTGGGCTCTGGAGGCCTTGGTTACGAGACGGGCTGTCGAGAGCCTGCTCGCGGACGGACAGGCATGGCAACCCAGAAGAGAGCCACCTGAGTGGGTCGGCTCCAGGGGGCACACACTGCAGGTTCTGTTGCCCATGTGAGAAGATTTTCTTCATGCGGCTTCAGCCAGCCCAAGGCACTGAAGACTGTTCAGAGAAAGTGTGCATATTTGTGTTTTTATCCGAGGAATTGCCAACAGAACCTGCGTGTGACAGGGACTGGGCAATTGCGAGGAGGATACGGGGAGCTGCAGGGCTGCGGGGGGCTGGCCTGGATCTCAGGGCACGTGTCGATGGCACTGGGGCGCTTGCTGGGCTGCCGGGGGCGGAAGGGAGGCTGTTTCCTAGAAGCGTGGACATTACATCTGGGAAGTGGCCGGTGTGATCTGAAGACGGGAAGTGAGAAGGGCCAGGGCTGCTGGAGTGTAGGCTGGGGTGCGTGGGCCTGGACTCCGGGCCTAGAGTGAGCGAGAGGAGAGCAGAACCCCTCCAGACCGTGGAAGAGTGGGAACGCTCCTGGATGTGGCGAGCGAGCTCTCTGGCCTCTGGCTGTAAGCTCCTTCCTGCGGGAAACTCGGGAAACTCGCTCGCATTACCTCTGGGGAAAGCTAGGTGCCCACCCCTTCCTGGCCTAAGTCCCTCGGTGGAGACTGCAGAGGCTGCAGGTCCCCCTTGGAGACCAGCAGGGGCCGGCAGCAACTCTGCAGGGAGCATGGGGGGCCCACAGCACCAGAAGACCCGACACCGCAGCGCGCACGTCCGTTACACAGCAGAGCGCCGCAGCAGTGCGGGTGAGGGAGGGTCCGCTGCCCATCCCCCCCCCCCCATAACCCACTGCCAGATACGGGAAAGCAGTGGGGGGCGGGCCTTGAAAGGAGACGTGTGGCTGGGCCTTGCCCGGGGGGCGGTGACACCCAACCCACAGGACACTGACGTGAGCATCACCTCTTTGCAGATCCTACTTCCGGGACTCAGTTCTGTGCCTCAAGACAGTCCAGAGCCAGCCGAATCCCCCTGCACATAACTGCCTGCCTTTGGGATATGGGAAGACAGCCTCGGGGTCCCCCAGCGGGTCATCCGCTCTCCGGGCGAAACAGACCTTTAGCTGTTTTTCAGATGAGATTATTGCAAGTCCTCCCCTCCCCTTCTAGTCGCTGTAGGCTTGCCCCAAGAATCTCCAAGAGAGCGTTCCTCCGTTCTGAACAGAGATGGGGGCCTCCCAGCTCAGATGCAGAGCAGACCCCCCTCCCCCCTGCCCCCGCCCCCCGCTTTTTGTACATGACCAAGAGAAATCACTTGAGAGCTGTGATTCTCAACCAACATGCGTCTGTCCTCCCCAGGGGACACTTGGAGCCGCCCGGGGACATTCTGGTTGTCACAACTGGGGCTGGGGAAGCCATGGGCATCCAGTGGGTGGAGGCCAGGGGTGCTAGCAAACATCCTTAAACGCCCAGGACACCCTCCACCCCAAACAACGGTCCAGCCCCAAATGTCAGCAGTGCCAAGGTTGAGATACCCCGCTTTAGGGTTTTAGGATCAAATCACCAGGCCCTTTTCAGACGTGCTGCCCTTCCGAAGGGAGGTCAGCTCCTCAACCACAGAAGCCTTCTGTCTGATGTGCCCGTTCTTACAGTCCCTGGAGCCATGCTTGACCCATAACTGGACCCAACAACTCATCTCCGCTGAATAAATGAATTTCCCCCATTCTGCAGTTGGGTCACTGGGCTTTGGGGCCAGGGCATCGGTAAGACTTTTCCTTTGATCTTATCACGTCACCCCGGCGCACACCTGATGATTAACATACCAGGTACGTCTAAAGGCAACCAAGAGGCTTAGCGTGGACCCTTCTCCCCGAGCCCCAACACACCTTTTTCTACTTTTTCCGTATTCACGTGAGTGTATCAACTTGTCTACTCTCTGGTGTCCGTAATTCCTTAGGCACTGGGCCTTGGTTTAAGGGATCCTGGCCTCAGCTCAGAGTGGCTGAAGGGAGTTATCTCTGATCTGGAAGGAGATGTATATCCTCTGGGGAAGAAAGTAGGAGACTAAGTGATAGGAGAGGTGATTAAGTACCTAATACGTGGGAGTGTCTGGCTGGGCTTCCAAGAACATGAAGCATAAGAGCCTCAGTTTCTTGAATACGTGTCGTGCCACCCTTCTCCTCAGTTTCTTGAATACGCGTCGTACCACCCTTCTCCCGAGGGCCAACCCGGAGGGAGTCCTGGCAGTCAGGGCGCTCCACCCAAGTTTGCTCTCCACGGATTCACGTGAGAAAATGGCAAGAGGATGAACCGTATGGAGACAGACTGTCCTGCTGCAATCAGGACTAATTTAACACCAAAAACATCCTCAGAGGGGCTGACCTGGTGCATCGGTAGAGCGTCCTGGTAAAATTCCCAGCAAATGTTACCTCGTACCAAGGCTGGCTTCCTTTGGACACTCACCAAAATAGCCCCTAAGTCAGCTGTCACCTCTGAAGCCAGGAATTATCAACAAAATGATGCAATTTTATCGCGGAGCCGTAGTTGAGTGAAGGCGAGAATGCCATTCTCAACTGAGAAGCACGAGCTTGGTTTCCGGTGATGTCACTTGAGAGACGGCACGTCCAGCCCAGCCCGTGAACCCTTGGCCTGACTGCAGCAAGTCGGGCCCATAAAAAGCAGCCCGCCTGGCCCTCTTCCCGGCCAGCCTGACATCACAGGCTCCAGCCGGAGCTGTTGTTGTCACGCCTGCCGGCAGCACCCCGCCCCCATCCCCACCCCCGATTGTACGGGGCTGACCGGGAGTTCCCGGGGGCCCAGAGGCTGCCAGGGACAGTGCCTACTCACCCCCGACTTCGGCTGTCACCGCTGTTCACCCTTCCTTTCCCCCCGGGGTTCAGTCTCCCCGCCTCCTCTCCATCACCTCCCCTCTGGGATGCTAGAGGAAACCAGTGAAGCCTGCTTTCCTCTACTGGGCTGTGTTCTCTAGGCCAGAACCCACTTGGTTAACGGTGAAGGACCTTTGGAAACAGGAAGTTAGTCTTTAACCAGAATAAGACCTCTGAGCCTGTGAGCAAGCACCTGTGTCTACGGAGGGGCCCCCTCGTCCATGGATTCAGGGCAGAACCACGCAGAGGACGGGCCCTCCGGGTGAGTGAGACGCCCTCGTTATAAGTCACGGCTGCAGAGCTGCGTGGTGTTGCTTTCGGGATGGCACACCACAGCCAAGTTCTGTGCCAAGGAGATGGCCTCCTGGGCCTGCCTTCATAAGGAGATCAGAGTGATCGTGAGATGTGCTCACGTTTACAATCGTCCTTCCTTGTAGAAGCTTCTTTGCCAGAGGTAGGAAGAAGACTCTCACCCAAGGATTCATCCTTTCCTTCCCAGCCCGGTGGGTCCAGCTTCCTTCTCCCTCCCCTCGGGGGCACGTCAACATCTAGACCCCTTTCTTGCGCCATCTGATGACCAGTGACGTGCTTGACGGAGCCATCCTCAGGACACCTGCCCTACCCCCAGAGAAGGGATCCTTCGGGCCCAATAGACCCGTTCCCGCACCCCCATCAGCATGGCCCAGGCCACAAGTGGTGAGGACGCCCCTGGCCTTTTTGCAGCCACTGTCTCCTCAGTGCACAGCAGCACGACCCAGCACTGACGGCCACCCAGTGCCCTCTTCCCAGAGACAGCCCCCCAGAGGACGGCTTGAAAAGTGTCCCACTGCACTGTTGCTCCAGGCAGCTCCACGCTGCTACAATCTGAGTTCGGGAAGTATCTGGGGACACCTGGCCAGGGCAGGTGATGTGTGAGGTCTCTAGCCACGCAAGCATCCATGACTTTTTCCTACATCTCAAGGTAATTTGGGTCTCGTACCTTAGCAAAGCAGTGCTGGTGACGTTGACGGGGACCCTGCTGGGCCAGTAAGCCAGAGCTGGGACACGGTGTCCTCCTTCCCAGGTGGTCTGCTTGGCTGGACTTCCCCCTGTGAGAAGAGGGGAGACAGTTGGTTCTCTGGGAAAACAGTCCTTCTCCACGGGGACTCTCTAAGAGCTTCTGATAATTCCAACAGAGGAATGACTTCCTTTAGCAACGAGCTATTCTGATTCATGTAGCGAATCTCTTTCAATACGTTCTTTTATTTTACCGGATTCAACACGCGTCACTAGCTGTGTCCGTCCCTCTCTAGGGAATCACGTCACTTAATTTCTTCATGCCACTTTGGCCACTTCAGACCGTCCGGCTTGTTTACGGACTGGCATCAGTCCTGTGCACCCGAGACATAGTAGGCACTCAACAACTACCTGTTGAATAAATGAGTGAATGTGTCTCCTGCAGATCGCGTTTAGGATGGAAACATAAAACTAATTGAAATGAGATAAAGGCGGAAATTCCCACAGTTATTTGATCTGCCCAACAACCGATCACTCCGCTTTCCTTTTTTGTTTTCCTTTTTTTTTTTTTTTTTTTTTGAATGAATGAGCTCTTCCGATGTTGTGGTAGCTCCGACCTCTTGCCTCTCAGGGGGCGGTAAGAACAATCTACGAATTTCCACTGGGTAATTAAAGGAATTATTTTTGTAACCACCAAGTCAGAAGTGACCACCAGTGTAACGATGACCAGCAGGCTGGAAGGGATGAGGTCATGCTTTATGGAAACATCCTGAGTACGTGTTGCGTTGAATTAACCATGACCGTGCCCATCCCTCCCACACACACCCCGACCTCATCCCAGCTGAGCCAGGAATTCCGCATGGTTAGCGTGTAGAGAGCCTTTCCAAGGCAAACGCTGTGTGTGTCTCACACATACCATGGTCATGCAACATCCTTATGTTTGGCTGGCGGAAACAACGATGGGGAGGGAGGGGGTGAGAAGACCGAGGCTGCCGTCACTTTGCACTCACCCCGCAGCAAACGGAAACTTTGATGTCCCTGGCCCAGCACGTGACACCAGAAATGCTCGGCATTCTTGGAATTTTCTCATAACCAGCTTTGGAGTCCCCCCAAGGGTTGAAGTCAGAAACGATACACAAAACAACTCGTGTCTATGGACCGTTTATGTTTAGGGGTGGGGCTCTCGGAACCAAGTGGAGTTGTGTGGGGGGCCGAACGGGAAACTCTCTGACTTGGCCCAAGATGTCTCACATACCTTCTTCCGGTCCAGAGCCACGCCGGCCATAAATACCTAGAGCCCACTCCCAATTATTCACGCATATGGAACAGAGACTCCAGAGCTACGGCGAGCATAAATCGCACTCCCCCGTGGCCTTGGAATGCATGACTTACGCTTCAGCTGAAAGCGGGGAGGGAGCATCTAACACTGCATGTGCGGGAGCTCTGCAGATAATCCCCACCACCACCCACGAGGGGCGTTTCTATGGAAGCTTGGGGAATAGGCGGGTGAAAATATGGAGTCCATTTATTTGCAAGTCCACGGAGCACAAAATTCAGACGAACTTGCTTAGCCTTTGAGGCCAGATGCTAAGGAAAAGCGAAGGGTTCAATTCGAAGAAACAAGCCAATGGTTCTGAGGGTCGACCAGAAGGCCCAAGCTGGGGGCTTGCACTGTGTCGGGGCTACAGGTGCCAGAGTACAGAGTCGGCACCAGGATTGCGTTTCCGCCTCCAGGGTGTTTCCAGTAAGGGTACACTGGCCCCTAATTAATAAATCTGCTAATTGGTCTTCACCACTAGGGGTTCTGCTCATTTGCCATAATCTTTTTGTACCGTTCTTTTTCAGACGATTAACTTTCCTAATTCGTTTTCAGAGAAAAATATGTCAGTGCGTTTGCCTTATTTCAGCAGAGAGTTGAAAGCTGGAGAGGTTAGACGGAATTCGGCCAGTTATAAAACATGTATACGTCAGCAGAGTGGACAGTGCCCTGCAGAGAATCAGGAACTGGGACAAAGAGAGGAAAATGCTGGCTGAGAGAAGCGGCTCGGTGTGGACACTTGGGGTGCGGAGAGCAACCCCTCCTCTGTGTTGCCAACACTGGTCAGCTGGCACCTGGCTGTACCTTGGGCTCTGGCTTTACCAGAAAGACACAATTATATATTCCAGCCATGCCCACAAGGCTTGTACTCAAAAGAGTCCAGAGTGTGGGTAAGCAATTATAAAAAATACATCCCCCAGAGCGTGGACACCTTCTCACTCCAAATTCCAGTATCTCATTGGCACTGCTAGGGGTGGGCCAGCTTTAAAAGGTCCGACCAGCGTTCTCTGTGGGTCCCCAGGGTCGATGCCTGATAACCAAGCATCTGATTGTCAGAAACATCTAACAGCGTTTGCTGTGGCTCATCTGCACCAGCAAACACTGAAACCCACAGCAGCTGGCCCTGGTCCCCTGATGTTCTCCAGTGATACCTGCTCCTACTGACGGAAACTCATCCTCCGTTAACCACAATAGTAACAGTAACAATAATCTCTCCTACTGATTGAGCCCTTCCTAAGCACCAAGCTAAGTGCACCTACCTATAATGCTAAGTGCTTCCCGGCATCATCTCCCTTAATCCTCAGGACAACTTTGTGAGCTAAGCCCTGTAATCCTCATTCTTCAGGTGAGGAGGTTGAAGCTCAGAGAGGTTAAGTGATTTGCCCAAGGTCACACAGCAAAGAAACACTAGAGTCAGGATTTGAATCCAAGTCTAACCACACAGCCAGTACCCTCAGCCATTAAACCTCCTAGGACTTTTTAGGACAGTGGTTCCCATCCCCGAATGCATATTCGAATCACTAGCTTTTAAGAAATACCCACTGCCAAGGTCCCTTTCCCAGAGAATTGTGATTTAAATTGGCCGGGGCTGGGGCCTGGATACCAGTATCTTGTAAAGTTCTTCTGGTGAGTTAATGTAGAGCGCGCCCGTTCCAGGCCGAGGGTGAAGAGAGCAAGGAACAGAGTCAGAAAGTGGACACGATGCATTTTGAAACTAATTGTAGCTTCTGTGCTTTTGAATGACAGGCTTTATGCGGCCCACAGCTTTGTAACTTTACACCACCGGAGCGTGAATGTGACCCTACGTGTTATAGTGAGCGAGAACAATAGCTAAGCCCACAAAGTCAGACAGGCACTTTTTAATTTCAAAAGCTATTCGTTAGTTGAGAGCAACCTTCATACTTTGATCAGAGGCCCTGGCACATCAAAAGGGTCCATTGCGTTTGGCTTTCTGTTGAGAAACGCAAGTCTGATGGTCATGAAAACGCATTTCAGCGCACTTGCGGTTAGTTATGACTCTAATTAAGGCAGAACCTCTTACTTAAAGCAATAAATATTTAGCCTCAGCAACCAAAATATAAACAGAACGATGATTCATGGAACTGCTTTTGCTCGTTCTCCCCTGGCTACGGAAGAAAACGCCACTGCACGATGCAGGGAGAAAAGGGCAGCCGAGGAAGGCTCACCACGACCTATGCTTGGAACAGGGTCCTTCCCAGAAAGGACCCAAATGCGATGCCTGCCTGAGTCAGAAAGGCAGTGTGGCTAATACAGAGGTTGGCAAACTTCTCAGTACATGGAGCCGCCAGAAGGACACCCAGAGATGCTGATTTAGGAAGTCTGGGGTGGGGTCTGATTCCAAGTCATCCTGACACCAGTCTCTGAGGACCAGAAGTTGAGAAGTGTTAGTAAGGTAAATGGGAGGACGCCTTCCCAATTCTCAATGTCACTGCACGTCCACCTCCTCAGCCGTGAAGGGGGAAATGACTGTACTGATCTCATGGGATGGTGGAAAAGTTACGCAAGATAATGTATATAAAGTTCCAAGCCAGGTCCTCTGGCGTAGTGCCTGCCACGGAAGCGCCCACTAAATGCCACCCAAAGAAACCCCTAGCAAAACAGAAACAAAACAAAATCACCTACAGATAGAAGAGAGCAGAAGCTGCAACCTGGCAAAGCACACACTGAATTCAGCCCCCTGACAGTTTGGTTTGGCACAAATCGTATTTCTTTTTAAACTAAATTTGAATGTCGTTAGTCAGAGCCCTCGATCTGATTTACCGAGTCCCTAATGCTGGCCACAATGGACACAAACAAACAGTTGTTCGTTTATACTACCTGCCTGGCCCCTCAAGGCATTTATATTTGTGACTCGGATGGAACACGCGTGTTCTGAGGAGCACACGTTCTATAACCTTCTAAAGAAGCAGGCTTCATTTCTAAATATAAATACATGCCCCTGCCAAGGCTCCCGGAACGCACACACTAGTTTTCTAGAAACACAGGGCAGCCAGGCCTCTGTTGGGGCGAAGGACCCTGGCTGCCCTGGGGCGGCCGTGAGTGTGGGCATGGGGACTTCCAAGCCCGGCAGGGGACATCATTTGACTTCCACTGGGTCCCCGGTAGCTGGCCCTGCCCCCAGCCGGGGCCAAGAGCCCCTCCCTTGCCCCTCACTCCCTCCCCTAGTCCCCCCCAACCCCGACCCCTCTCCGTCCCACCCCCTGCCCCAAATGGACAGAAGGCCCAGGATGTAGAGCACGCTTCCCAGTGGGAAAGGTTATGTAACCACCTGATAGCATCAAGTTACAACCAAGGTCTCCTAGAAGCCAAGGATGCCAAATTCAACAGCATGTTTCCTCATCACCGGCGGGGGGGTGGGAGGAAGGAACAGTTCTGCTCTTCAAATAAAACAAGAAAAGATTTTCCAGACAGAGGAGCCGTCAGTTAGGGCACAAACAAGGTGTTGGTTCTGTCCCGGAGAGGAAATAGGTCTGGAGCAGGGAAGGGAGGCCGGCGGCTGGGAACCAGGGGGGCCGCGGGCTAGGGGTCGGCAGCGGCCCTGCTGTGCCCCTTGGCCCCTGGTTCGGTCTCTCCTCACCCCTACAGGACGCAGGCCAAGCCCGGTGGAGCACCCTCACTCCAGCACGGGATGAAGGGATGACTGCAGGAGACGCTGCCTCATCCCATCAGCTGAGCAGAGCGGCTCAGCCAGGAGGGGGGGCGGGGGGCGGCCCGGGGGCCCTGGGAACAGGGGAGGCAGCGTGTGGCCTGATGCGCTGGGCCGGCTGCGGGGAGAAAGCAGCAGGGCTCTGGGCACTGTTTGTCCTGCTCCATCGCGAAAACACTGACTGTCTTCTCTCTTTCACCAGCTCCCGAGACTGGCCCCGTTTACAGCAGGATACACAGGCCTCCCGCTGACAAGGAACCTGCTCGAAGAAGAGCAGGCGGTCCAGAGGGACCCCCAGCCCCTCCCCCGTGACCCGGGTCCCCTGGCCATGGCCCTTCCACCCAGGGCTCTGCCCGCCTTCCCAGAGCCCCCCACAGTGGCCTGGGCAGTGAGGAGAGGTTGACGGGAAGCCAGTTTGGAGACTGAGGAAGGGGAAGTGTTTACCCCCCGCAAAGTGCGTCTTCAGGATCTCCTGGGAAAAGAACAAGGTAACCAGGTCCAGTCCCACCACGGATTCAGGTGCTGTGTCCCACAGATATCACATCCAGACCAACGTTTGTGCAAGGCCCTGCCCCCCACAGAGGGTGTTGTCTCGACATGAAGGAAGTCCAGCCTCAGAGCAGTTTTCCAAGCCACAGGCCCAGAACTCCTGGGAAGTGCTCCTCATGTCGCTTAAGGTGCCTGTGTGCTTCAGCAGGAAAATCCTTCTCGGGTTATTTCTTCCAATTATTCTCTTTGTGGGAACCCTCCCCCCACCCCGAGTTTGTTTCGGCTGGGAGTGAAGAGATGGAGTTGTATGGGGGTAGTAAAGGCCAGGCACCTCCCGGCCAGCGTCCCAGTTGGCCCTGCACCGTCCCGCGAGGCGGGTCTCCACTGCCCTTACTGAGGAGGACGCAGGGCTGGAAGGGGCCGCCGGGCACCAGGTCCTGAGCTGAGTCGAGAATCACGCCTCCAAAGCCCTCTCTCCATCTCTCCACTCTGCCTCCCATAGATTTAGAAAGACTCAGACTGTCACAGGGGCTAATGAGGTTCTCTCTGACAACCATGGAGGGGGCAGAGAAGTAAGACAGGACGTTGCAGACAGCTGGGCAGTCAGTCGGGTATAACAGGGCGTGAGGATAGTGAAAACGTGGGTTGAGGAATGAGCCGGGTGGTGGTCAGAGCGTGTGGCCCCTCAGTCGATGGCTGGCCCCAGGGAAGCCCTCTGCCCCGCTCAGCCTCAGATCCCTCTTTGGCCAACAAGGTAGTTGGAGTAGAGCTCGCTGAGGCCTCCCTGGCACTGTTTGAATGCGGGGAGATTCCTGTCACTCGCTCCCCTTTATTTATCGTCTTTGACTCAATAGAAATGTCTATATATACATGTACCACGTGTTCTTTATCCATTCATCTATAGATGGACACTTAGGTCACTTCCATATTTTGGCTGTTGTGAATAATGCTGCAATGAACATAGGGGTGCATATATCTTTTGGAATTCCTATTTTCATTTTCTTCAGATAAACAGTGGGATTGCTGGATCGCGTGGTAGCGCTACTTTTAATTTTTGGAGGACCGTGCATACCGTTTCCCACAGTGGCTGCACCAACTTGCACTCCTTTTTGTCCACACCTTCCCCAACTTTGCTTTGGATTCAGTAGGTCTGGGGTGAGGCCCTAGAATCTGCATTGCTAACAAGTTCTCAGGTGGTACTGATGCCGCTGGTCCTGGGACCTCACCTGATAACCCACTGGTCTAGATCTGACAGTTCTAGACTCGAAGGGCGCTAGATGTGGATATCCCAAATTGCTGGCTCTCAGAGTGGTCCCTGGACCAGCTGCAACAGCATCACCTAGGAGCTGGTTAGAAATGCAACATCTCCATCACCAACCCAGACCGACTGGGTGCAGGATCCCCAGGGGACCATCTACACGTTAAAGTCTGAGAAACACTGCTCTAGACCGTCATTCTTTAAAGCCGGGGCTTTGTTGATCTTTGTGTCCCCAGCACTGAGCACAGCTCCTGGCACATAGTAGGTGCTCAACAAGTAGAAGGAAAGGAGGATACGCCCTGCTGATACATGTGTTTCTCATAAAGTTCTTCCCTCAAAGAATGGGCTACAGTCCACACCCGTAAACTGGTTCACTATTTTAAAACTGCCTCCTAAGGGGGAGAAGAGAAAAGATAAGGCAGGTCCTCAGATAGGAGATCAGAGGTCGTCTTCTTAGGAAACAGAAAGATCCCCACAGAGGGGCCACTTACGGACAGATTTTTATCCCCTCAACCTTGGTCTCTGTGCCTTTAGGGCTTTTACTCTTGAGAGTAAAAATGATTCCAGGCTCTTCTAACTGAGCATTGAAGACGGCAGCCTGGCCCAAGGGTACCCCAGGTACAGAGAGGAGGAATTACCATCAGCGAATGCAGAAAAACCACCCCCAGTTGGCACCATATTTCTCTAGGCTGTGGCTGCAGCTACCGGACACATTTCCACCACTTTTGGTCCTAGCATCTTTTCCTGGTCCAGCTCTCCAGGAACCAGAACTAAATCACAGTGCTCTTGAACGAACTGGATGGGCCAAAGAGATCCATGCACAGAGAAACGCCACCACCCAGAGGGATGAAGTGGTCTCGTCACTGGGCAGCACCCAGTTTCCCTGACTTCCACCACATATGTCCACACACGAGATGCGGTCACAGCTCAGCAGCCACTCACCTGTAAAGTTCTCAAGGGATCTGATCCAAGGGACGCCAGGGTAAAGCACTTCCTTCTCACAGCTAGCCGTGGGACACACGAAAATTCTAGCTTCTAGGTAACTACGACTATCCTGCCAGACTCATCTGAAAGGGAATTCGTGTCTCTCCGACTTGGACACAGCTGGGGCCGCAGGTCAGAAGCCAGCCCCAGGGCGTAATCTTGCCAAGTCCACCTCTGCACCCCTCGGATACAAGCACCTTCTGAAATTTTTATTTTAATTTTTTCATTAAAAAAATTAATTAAAAAAAATTTTTTAATTGGTTAAAAAAAAAAAAAAGTGAGAATAACTACACTTAAACCCTTCCTCCCCTACCCAGGGGTAATCACTGCTAATCTTTTGTTATCAATACCTTTTGTTGCCTCTCTCAAGATTTTTCCGAGAATACATGCACTTAGTTTTATACAATAAAATCGTACTTTACATATGGTTTTGTGACCTGCTTTACTCACTGAAAAGTATTTAATGTAACTGTTTCCAGGTCAGTCATATGCGCCATTTTCAGTGGTTCCTTAGTGTTTCTTTAAATGCATGTATCATAATTTCTTTGCGCACTCCTCTCTTGCCGGACACCTGGGTTACGTCTAACTATTTTTCTCAAGAAAAACCTACTGCAACGAGCATTCTTTTACACACAACATTGTGCACTTGGCTTATTATTTCCTGAAGACAGATTCTTTAAAAGAGGAATTAATGCATCGCCCAGCATGCACATTTTTCAAGACTTTGGTCCATACTGCCGAATTGTCCCCAGCAGGACTGCTCTTTCAGAGAGTGAGGTCCTTTTGGGGAAACCTTCCCAGCAGATGGGCGCTGAGCTGGGGGCTGAAGGGTGTTTACATAAAGAGAGGCAGTACGGTGTAGTGGGAAGATCCCCAGCTTTAACTTGGTAGCACGCCTGGCCCCGTCCTCCCAAACTGTGTGACTCTAGGCAAGTTACTTAGCCTCTCTCATTCTTCAGCTGTAAGTGGAGTGATTACTACCTGCCTTTCACTAAGGTTTAGAGCTAATGCATATAGAAACCTTGCATAGTTGTGCACGAAATATTTCTTGAATGAACGAAATGAATTAGTGTTTGGATGGATGGAGGGATGACTTTTAAAAAAGGAAAGAAAAGAAAGCAAGGAGGAAGATTGAGGACATGAGGGTGAGGGTAGAGGCAAAGCATACTTGCTGGGCTGCCTGTCAGCGGGCCGACGCCCTGGGAGGGAAGGAAAGGGAACCCCCCGGGGTGAACACGCACTTTCTCCACTCCAAATTGTTTCTCTTCTGGGAGCTAGTGGCTGTGAGTAATCTGTCCCTATTTCACAATGATGTCCCAAGACCCAGCTATAAACTGGTCCTCCCAGAGGCCGGATCTCATGCCCCAGCCCGGACTCAGCACCCGCGGGGAGATGCCCCAACCCCAGCTGTGAGCCTCTACCTTGACGAGTTTGCCACGATCCAGTGAAGGGCCCCACGCTCCCTGCCAGCTCACACTTCTGAGCCCACGGGCCATTGTCTCCTAGAAACCAAAAAAAAGCAACACGCAGCAGTCAACAGGCTGGAGGATGCTTCTGCCCGGTTCTCTCTCTCTTGGGTCCCACATCCCTGTGCACAGCAGGGGACTGGAAAGAAAAAGGACCTGTGAAAACAAATGCAACCCTACCCTTGAAGGACCTTTTAGAGGGGGCTGCCTCCGATGGGCTTTCCGGAGAGGCGGGCTGTCCTGCCCCGAGCACGCCCCACGCTGAGGCTTCTGCCTTTGGATCTGGGCTCAGCAATTCCATTGCCACTATCTTTGGCCCAGCAACTCTTTCTTTTCTTTCCTTTTGTTTTTTGTGGGTTTCTTTTGGCCGCACGGCATGTGGAATCTTAGTTCCCCAACAGGCATAGAACCCGTGCCCCCTGCAGTGGAAGCACGGAGGCCTAACCTCTGCACCCCCAGGGAAGTGCCCAGCAACTCTTTCCTGAGCCCCTATGATGCACACATACGTTATCTCCTGATCCCCCAATGGGCTATGGAATAGATTTCACTGTTAGCTTGACTCCGCCGATGAGGAAGGAGAGGCTTACAGAGGTTAAAGTAACTTTCCCGGCACTCCCCAGGTGGCGCAGTGGTTAAGAATCCGCCTGCCAATGCAGGGGACACGGGTTCGAGTCTTGATCCGGGAAGATCCCACATGCCGCGGAGCAACTAGGCCCGTGCGCCACAACTCCTGAGCCTGCGCTCTAAAGCCCGCGAGCCACAACTACTGAAGCCCGCGTGCCTAGAGCCCGTGCTCTGCAACAAAAGAAGCCACCGCGATGAGAAGCCCATGCAACGAAGAGTAGCCCCCACTCGCCGCAACTAGAGAAAGTCTGCGGGTAGCAACGAAGACCCAACGCAGCCAAAAAAAAATAAATAAATTTATAAAAAATAAAAAATAAATAAAGTAACTTTCCCAAGAGTAGAGATTCAAACCCAAGTGTCCACCACTCTCGCTCCAGACAGGGACCCGAGACCAGTGACGCCTGTGTGGGCCCTTTAAACAGCCCACTAGTCCAGCACCGCTCAGCCAGAAGATGTGACCTGCTGACCGGTGGCAACCTTTGGGATGGGGGAAGACGGTAAAGAAGCACTCTTGGAATTGCCCGAGGATTACAGAGGTCCACAATGTCAAAGTCACTCATTAACGATTAACAGCAATACCCAGATGGCCCTGATCAACACCCAAGGGGCCGGCAGGGTACCCGCTCTCTCTGTGCAAAGCCTTTCCAGGGGCACAGTCCTGGAGGTCCCAATGGACAGGTGCTCGGCACGCAGGCCGACGGACGCGAGCAGGGCCCCCAGTTCAAGGCGAGCCCCCTGCCCAGCTGAAGAGGGTCACTCGCCCAGACTCTGCTCTTGTGTGGGACGTGTGCGGGGTTATCCATTAGATCCCAGTGAGGCTGGCTGGGTTTTACTACTTCACCTGTAAACCAAAGGAATGTGTTGTTTTTAGCCGTGAGGTCAACTTTGTCCTTGATCTGGCCCACGAGGCTGTCCATCTCCCGGAGAGCCGCGCTGTACGGCCTTCGACCCCCGGGTTCTGCTGACAGCAGGGTCCTGGACAGGGGCACGTGCATGTGGGCCAGGCCCACGTAGAGCAGGAAGGGTCTTCCGCTGGCACTGAAACGAGAGAGCCCGGGGTGATGCTCCAGAAGGGTCCCGTGGCCTCAGAGAAGGGCCCAGAACCCCTTCCAGCCGGTGTGCTCAGGAAGTATACATCCGTCTACAGCCTGCAAAGGCAATGGGGGGATAAAGCTAGTTAAAGACTGAGAGTAGCTGTAATACTCGCTTCTGCCCTTTTAACATTTACCGGGAGCTTATTGAACGTGACTCACGTTGCCTGAATTCAGCCTCATAAAACCCCCCAAGTTCCCTTTTCCGGATGAAGCGTCAGAGGCTCAGGGAAACTGAGACTTACCCAAGGTTAGGAAGCGACCAAGTCTGGGTTTAAACTAAGGTCTGGCTGAGAGCAGAGCCCTGGCTCTTAGCAGCTTCATTCTAACGTCCAGTGCAAACGTATTTTTAAGTTCCAGCTGCTCTCTCGCAGCATCCAGGCCATCGTTTCCATTCCCAGCCTTGGCTCTTTCTAGGAGATGAACGGATGACTGAAACGGACCACGGGGAATTCCAAGGCCATAGCTGGGAACGTCTAGATCAAGGTCCTGGTAGAGGCCAGGCTCCCGGCTGCCCCTCCTCTGATCCTGCAGGTTCCCCTGGGAGGCCTCTGCTTCCTGCATGCCCCCCACCTGCATCCCCAGGCCAGGGGCAGGGTCAAGGGCAGCGGCAGGGACCCTCGGGGAGACCCTTCCCACAGCCCACCCCTGTGGGGGGTCTTTCAGAGGACACAGGGAGGGCAAGGGGGGAACTTCAGGCGAGTCCATAGGCTGGCGACAGAAGTGCGGCTCTTTCACACCAGGCCACCTGGACACTCGACTTTCAAACCGGCCTGAGCGTTCTTGGCTGCCCCCGATTCACACCACCCCACATCAAGCTCTCTGAGTCCCCCAGCCTCAGCTCTGCACCAAACCTCGCCCTGGAGACGCCCCTGCATCCCAACTCCCAAAGTCCCCTGATTGGGACTCTACTGCACTCAGCTCTCTTTGAAGGACAGAAGATGCACGTCCCAGACGGGGGCCTCTCCTTCCCCATTCTAGTCCACAACTTCTCTGCAACATTTCACGAGCTGTATCGCCCATGTCCACAAGTCATGAGTGGCTATTCTGATTTCAATTCACGAACATGAAATAAAGCTAAGAATTCAGCGTCTCACATGCTATACCATGGATGAGGCTTGAAGACACGATGCTCAGTGAAATAAGCCAGTCACCAAAGGACAAATACGGCACGATTCCCCTTATAGGACGTACTTGGAGTGTCTGCTTCATACAGACAGAAAGCAGCGCTGTGGAGGCCCGGGGCTGCAGGGAAGGGAAAACGGGGAACTGGTGTTTAACAGGTACAGAGCTTCATTTGGGAAGATGAAAAAGTTCTAGAGATGGATAGTGGGGATGGTTGCAGAACAGTATGAATGTACTTAAAACCACAGAACTGTACACTTACAAAGGTAAATTAAAAAAATAGGGAGGGTGGGAAGGGAGGGAGACGCAAGAGGGAAGAGATACGGGGACATAGGTACGTGTATAACTGAGTCACTTTGTTATACAGCAGAAACTAACACACCATTGTAAAGCAATTATACTCCAGTAAAGATGTTAGAAAAAAGTTTTTTTTAAATTGAAGTAGAGTTGATTTACAAAGCTGTGTTAGTTTCAGGTGTACAGGAAAATGATTCAGTTATACATATATATATTGAAAAGGAAAATTTTATGCTATGTATAGTTTACATCTATCTATCATCTATCTATTCTCTATCTGTCTATCTATCTCTCTATGTCTATCTCTTTCTCTATCCGTCCATCTGGTGTCTCAGTTGCCTGAGCCACATTTCCAATGCTCAGGCCAGTGGCTACCATCCCGGACAGCACAGAGAGAACATGTTCTTCCTTGCAGAGAACGCTATTGCATGGTGCTGATGTAGGGCGTCTGTTGCCTGATCTCACAAAGATGATCATGTACAGTTGCGTAGGTTGTGCACAATTCCGGCATGCGGACATCCTGCTGAGAGAGCGAATGGGAGTTTAATGCCAGCCCACAATCCACTGGCCGAGCTGGGCGCTCTGGCACCGGTCAGCATACACTCAGCGGGGACGCCTTGTCGTAATCTGCAGGTGGATACCACGTGGCAGCAGCATGCTGGATGGAGCTGGCTCAGATTTCAGGAATTTTGCAAGCCAGTTGTTAAACATGGCTGCCATTAAAAATTGAACGAAATCAACTTACCATTAAATAAATGATATTAAAAACAAAGGTGGGGGGGATAAATTGGGAGACCGGGGCTGACATATACACACTACTATAAATAAAATAGATAACTAATAAGGACCTACTGTACAGCACAGGGAACTCTGCCCAATACTCTGTAAAAGAATCTATATGGGAAAAGGATCTAAAAAAGAGTGGATATATGTATGTGTATAACTGATTCACTTTACTGTACAACAGAAACTAACACAACATTGTAAATCAACTGAAAAAAAAAACCAAAGGTAAGAAACTTGCACGATTTATCACATCCTAATTATTCTACCACAGTTTACTAGTACCTGTGCCCTGCACTTCGTTTCGCGGCCGCTGAATCTGTGCGGTGGGAACACCGTATGATGAGGTGCTACGCTGCGCATCTCTCCAACCCTACGGTCAGCGACATCTCATTGGTATCTTGAATTCAGCCACAGTGAGAGTATTTACGCCACAGAAATGGGCAAATCAGAGCTTTTTTTCTTATTTACACCACAGAAATGGGCAAATCAGAGCTCTTTCTCTGAGTGCTGGTTGTTAAACATTTATCAGCTCATAGCTACCTATGGGCTGGGGGCGTGGTCCCATCACCCACCCTCATCCCACCCCCATCATTATCTTGCAAACTCCCACCCATTATCAAAATCCTGTTAGCACCCTGGGCTGTGAAGATGAGGGAAGATGGGCATTGGAGACCCGCATCCGAATCCCTGGAATTTTATTTCATGGTCGTGTGACCCTGGGCAATTCACTTAACCTCTGTCGTGTCCACAGTGGGGACAGCTATGCCTCCCTGATAAAGCTGTGAGTATTTAATGCCATAGTAAGGTTTTCATAAGTGGTACCCTTTTATTAATAAGTATGAATAATACGAGCCTGCAGTAGTAAGCATCCATGGTACCCAGGGGAGCACCTCTCTCCCTGCATCCTGACACCATGCTAGAACTCGTAAAGATGGCATGTTGCAGGAACCGCACAAACTAGCTCCCTGGGGGCATCTATCCCCTGAACCACCCCTGCGCTGAATGGCAAATACAGAGTGGAGGATGGGCAGTTCTCTGGTGGCCTGGTGGTTAGGGTTCTGGGCTTTCACTTCCGTGGCCCGGGTTCAATCCCTGGTTGGGGAACTGAGATCCCACAAGCCACGCGGCCCAGCCAGAAAAAAAAAAAAAAAAAAAAAGTGGAGGAGACTTGGTGCTTTAAAAAAAAAAAGGCTTCCCTGGTGGCACAGTGGTTGAGAGTCCGCCTGCCGGGTTCGTGCCCCGGTCCGGGAAGATCCCACGTGCTGCAGAGCGGCTGGGCCCGTGAGCCATGGCCGCTGAGCCTGCACGTCCGGAGCCTGTGCTCCGCAACGGGAGAGGCCACAGCAGTGAGAGGCCCGCGAACCCTAAAAAAAAAAAAAAGGCCAGTTATAAGGCAGTATGATTTCATCTTTATTTAAATATAGATACATGCATGTGTGTGTGTGTGTGTGTGTGTGTGTGTTTATTCACCAGCACAGGCTAGAAGAACATGTTCAGATTTAACAAAAGGGGTTAAGATATCAAAGGAATTAAGACGCTGGAGGGGACATTCCAGCAGAGGGAGGGTGGGGCGTGGTGTGGAGATGCACAAAGATTGAGACATGGGGAAGCCAAGTCTGGAGAAAATCTCCTGATCTGAAATAGAAAATGGCAAGTGAGGGATGCCCATCTCTCAGGAAATGTCCCCAGTGGGCTCCTGGCAGGAGAGCCAGGCCTGAAGGTGGCGGCAGGGCTGCCCTCGAGCCGGGCTCCCTCGGCTGCCCCTGCAGCGGCCCCCGGGGCTGACCGGTCCAGGAGGCATAGCTGCAATAGCCACTCGCCCCCGCCCCGTCCCAAATCTCACAGTCACCCTCTGGGCCTCAGCGTTACAGAGAACCTTCTGGAATCCAGACTGGACCTGACAGTTGTCAGTTCAGAAGCCCACCGGGGCTCCATGAGCCTGCGGGCAGTGCAAAGGCCTAGCCCGGCATCCGCGGCCTTCCCAGCCTTGCCGTCCTTCCGACGCCGGGGCCACCTCACGTCCTCCTGCGCCTGTTCACTCCTCTCCCGGCAGGACCCTGCCTGGTACCTTGCCTGCAAACACTTAATCCATTAATCCATTAAGATCCCACTCCAAAGCCATCAAGATCCCTCTCTGCTCCCAACTCATAGGTGGCTTCCTCTTCCCTGGCCCCTTTTGCCCCTCCCTTAGAGACCTGATCAGTATTGACAATGCACCCTATGCGAAAGCCAGCTTTTGAACACTATCTGTTTCCCCACTAGCCTGGGAGACGCTCGAAAGCCGAAACAGATCTAATCCGCGTGTGTATTCCCAGCACAACACTGGCACACGTTTGGGGCCAGATCAAGCAACTCACTCTTTATTCACTCATTCAATGAATACTTATTAAGGGCTAACCAAGCCCCAGGCACTGCAGAGACAGCTACAAACACAGAAGCAGGACTTCCACCTTCTTGGAGCTTCACATCCAATTGGAAACAGCAGAGGGAAAGATGCAACTAAGAAATGAATCAGGGCTTCCCTGGTGGCACAGTGGTTGGGAGTCCGCCTGCCGATGCAGGGGACACGGGTTCGTGCCCCGGTCCGGGAAGATCCCACGTGCCGCAGAGCGGCTGGGCCCGTGAGCCATAGCCGCTGAGCCTGCGCGTCCGGCGCCTGTGCTCCGCAACGGGAGAGGCCACAGCAGTGAGAGGCCCGCGTACCGCAAAAAAAGAAAAAAGAAATGAATCAGATCATTATTACAAATATATAGTAGTAGGGATGATGGAGGAGAAATACAGGGTGCTGTGGAAGAGCATAACAGGGGACCCAAGCTGGGCGGGGGGGAGGGGGAGAGGGGAGACATCTCTGAGACAGTGTGGCCCGAAGGACGGGGGGGGGGGGGCTCCAGGGAGACAGTGCATGGTCGCCCTTCAAGGCAGACAGAACAGCAGAGGGAGAGGCTGCAGGAGGAGGACGGCCGTCCCACTGCCCAGCGGTGCGTGCAATCACTCATGTCCTCACCCGTTATTCATCAGAACACCCAAACAGGAGAAAGAAGAGAGGAGGGGTCAGGAGGACAGAATGATCTTCAGGCTGAACCCGGAGCCCTGATGTGGGTGGCAGGTGGTGCGCTTTAGGTGGGAGACGGGTGAGGACGGAGATGAGAAGGGGAAGGAGGCTTAGACCAGCAGGGGGAGAACGATGCAGGCGGAGGGGTTGAGTCAAGGAGAAGAAGGAATCAAGCCCTTGATGTGGGTCCCAGGCTCCAGCTCAGGAAGGCTGGGGCTTCTTTGTCCTCTGTGCCTCTCTAGGACCTAGTTCTAAGTGCGCAATTCCCTGGAATATGGACCATACACTCTGATTTCAAACATCCTCACACCTACCCCAATACGCTCGGCCCATCAAGCCCTGTATTCCCAACTCAGGTTCAATGCGCCGTCCTAGACCCTGTAGGGAGCAGAGGACCAGCCAGCTCCATGACCTAGAAGCCCAGACGCCCAGGCCATCCGCTACCTCCTTTCTTTTTCTTTTTTTTTTTTTGCCAATTCGGAGCTTTGCCTGCTGTTTAAAAAACTCGAATCAGGAACTAGCTTTCAGGAGAAAGACAAATAACACATGATACCACTTGTATATGGAATCTAAAATATGGCACAAGTGAACCTGTCTATGAAACAGACACAGACTCACAGACATAGAGAACAGACTTGTGGTTGCCAAGGGGGAGGGGAGGTGGGGGAGGGATGGAGGGGGAGTTTGGGATTAGCAGATGCAAACTAGTATATACAGGATGGAGAAACAGCAAGGTCCTACTGTAGAGCACAGGGAACTATATTCAATATCCTGGGATAAGCCATAATGGAAAAGAACATGAAAAAGAATGTAGATATATGTATAACTGAGTCACTTTGCTGTACAGCAGAAATTAAGACAACATTGTAAATCAACTCTACTTCAATTAAAAGAAATTTTTTTTTAGGAATTAGCCTTCAGCATCACTGCTAGGTTAGGGGTCTAAAATCAAGTGAAGCCCCAAGGAAAAACGTTCAAAGAAGACCCTCTTGCCGAGCAGGGCAGGAAACCACACTCCAGGGGCCCCCGGTAGTTTTGACAAACAAGTCAAGGTGGCGTAAGGGCTCATGACGGAGAAAACAGCACAGATCTGGGGGCTTTTCTGCTGACACTTCAAAAATCATGGATGAATTGGCAAGTCCAATCCTAAAGAAATCAGCATGCCTGAGGATTATTTTCTGTCAAGCAAAAAGCCAACAGGATTCATGTGACTTTTCACTTAATAACTAATTAATAAATTAGCAAACTCTTCCCCTCTTAACTATGATAAAGAGTTTGTTCACTGATTTGTTAGTCTTTCAACTGGTTAATTAAGTGGTAGATGAACAGCACCATGTCCTCTTCAGAGTTAATCAGTGCCCAGCCGGCTGCCACCCGCTACCGTCCCCTGAGAACACTGTGCTCTCATTGCAAAAGCAGGGGTAGACCTTCCTCACCAGCCACAGACCGTCCACCTGTCGTAGGGCACCGGGGCCCGAAGCCATCCAGGGAGCATATACGTGCTCAAACCCCCAGGTGGGAGAAGGGGCTTTGTGCTTTTCATATCAACCATCTGAAAAAACAAAAATGAACAAACCAACCCAACAGTGTTTCTCAGAAAGCCCTGAGAAACTGGTCAGATGCAGTCCCTAAGCCCTAAGGGGCTGCTCTCAGGGTGTGGGCCTTTAGCAGGCCATGTGATCAAGCAGAAATGGATCTGCTACATGGCTATACCTCCACCCTCCCAGCTGCCCGTCTGTCTAGAAAAGTCCAGCATGGCGGAGCGAGGGGCTGGGGGAGTTCTTGCACATTCAGGGAAATGATGAGATCAGCTATCCCAAGGTGGAGTCTATTTTTAATTCTGTGCAAGCAGACAGGTGTGCCGTACACGTTTTCCTGCCCACTTAGGCAAAGGCTGTGGAAAATACCAAAGGACCTGTTGGAAATTGTTCCCCGGCCCTTGAAGAGTTTGCAGTCTTGTGACTTCCCTGGCAGTCCAGTGGTTAAGACTCCACGCTCCCAACACACGGGTTCAATCCCTGGTTGGGGAACTAAGATCCCCGCATGCCGCATGGCGCGGCCTAAAAATAAGAGAGAGAGAGAGAGAGAGAGAGTTTGCAATCTTAGGAGAAAGGTGCACCAGTGCACATGAGAGAGGCAGCGGGTGGGGTGACCGTGTGTGTGCACATGTGTGTGTCTGAGCTTGCACCCCGCCACCTACGTACATGCACCCCAAGGTCAGTAGTAGTAGCTGACTGTGGTCTCGCACAATCTACTCCCTGTGCTGATCTCTGATCTGACAGAGGCTGGAAGCAAGCAGCTCTCACACAGAGACAGCTTGCTAGAGACCCACTGTGGTATGGCTCTGGGGTTTCTGCTTTTTGTTATTTTCAATTAGTGGTTGCTAACAGTTAGAGATCAGGAGATCCACCAAGGGCCAGGTGGCCTGTCTTTCTTGAGAAATGGAAAGGCCTGACAAGCCAGGCCCCCGTTCCCACAAAGCAGCAGCAGGCGGCCTTAGATGGGACAGGTGCTCGAAATTCACCGCAGGCCCCACCACTCCCTACTGCCTCACAGTCAGCCTGCTTCCCGCTTCAGGTTACCTGGACCCTGTAGATGCTGGACCCCTGTGTGTTATACTGAATACTGGCCCCCAAGGATACTCAGGGTCTAATCCCTGGAATCTCTGAGTGTCCCCAAAGCGGACGTTGTAGATGCAATTAAGTTGAGGATCTTGAGATGGGGGATTATCTTGGATCGTTCCCAGTAGACCCTAAACGTAATCACAAATGTCCTTATAAGAAGGAGGCAGGGGGAGATGTGACTACAGAAGAGGACAAGGCAAGTGAACCACAGAAGTGGAGATTCAAACGATGTGGCCAGGAGTTCCCTGGCGGTCCAGTGGTTGGGACTCCATGCTTCCACTGCCCAGAGTCTGCGTTCCATCCCTGGTCAGGGAACTAAGATCCCGCAAGCCCAGTGGTGCCGCCAAAAAAAAAAAAAAAAAGGAATGATGTAGCCATAGCCAAGGAATTCCAACAGCCACCAGAAGCTGGAAGAGGCAAGAAACAATCCTCCCTGGAGCCTCGAGAAGGAAACAGCCCTCCTGATAACCTTGATTTTCGCCCCATAAGACGCATTTCAGACGTCCAGCCTCCAGATCTGTAGGAGAATAAATTGCTATTGTTTTAGCCAATAAGTTGGTGGTCAGTTTGTAACAGCAGCAATAAGAAACGAACATAGCCTGTCAACTAATGAACTCGACAAACACCTTGAATGCCCAGAAGACAGTGGATGGACCCTGCCCTCAGGGAGGTGATACGCTAGCAGGAGAGGACACCTGACAATGACGGGAGAGTGTGGTCTGAGCAGGGACCCTGGGAATGTACCCGAGGCACTTGTAACCCAGGCCTGGAGACCCCAGGACAGACAGTTTTCTAGCTTTATTTCCAGGAGACATGCACGCGCGCATCTTTGTCAAGCAATGGAGCTCCGCTGCGGTCTGAGCCGTGCTGGGGCCAGGGGACACGGGGGTGGGGGGGGCTCACCTCGCCCGCTGGATGAACTGGGTGGCCTTCTCGGCATACTTCTGTGTGAGGCCGCTCAAGTTCACGGGCTGCTCCACGATGCTGAGGTTCTCATAGAGAGGAAGGGCCACGTCAGAGTGACAGTCCTTCTCAGGGTTCCTGGGTGGAAATCACAGACGGTGGAGCGTTCATTCCCACGACCTAAGTAGTCACGGAGTCAGACAAAACGCTTTGATGCAGTGATGCCCATAAATACAGAACACTTAATAGCCTGGCCTCAAGTGATTTTTCCAGTCTGCCATTTCCTCCAAGTGCAAGACCAATATAACACCTTCTTCTGTGCCCTTTGAATAGACGTGTATGCTCCTTGGACAAGCCTGGCCATTCTGTAAAGCTCACGACTTTTTTGAGCTACGGATATGATTATACCCATTTTGCTGGCAGAGAAACTGAGGTTAAACAAAGTACATTACACAGCAGAGTCCCAGAGGCAATCAGTAGCCCTGGTTTTTTCCACCGGTCCCCTTAAGTCATGACTTCCGTCCATGGGGTACAACGCTTGGTATTTTCCCAAGTCAACAATCAGGACTTTGTGTGACAAGACGTCTGACAAGAGGACAGATGGCTAGGAACAACTTTGGAATTTCAAACCATGTTTGGAGAATTTGGGGAAGCTTTAGCAATTGGAAAAAGTGGGGGGTCAAACCTATTGTATCTCCTGGAAAAAAACAAACTCAGCCCTTGGTCTTACAGATGGAAATGAATCTGACATACGAATGACCCAGCAGAGCAGCTGAACCCTGACTCCGGCTGTGATCTCGGGTGAGTTACCTAAGCTCTCAGAGCTTGACTTTCCTTATGGGAAGTGCGGGGTTGCCCGGGCCCCTTACAGGGATAAGGAACGGTTAGCATTCACACTGCTTGGCACACTAGGAATGCAATAAAAACTCAAGCCCTCTGTCCTGGGGGACACAGAGAACTGGAAGAGGAGCTGAGGACAATGGAGAGAAAAGGGTGGTCACGGGGGGCCTCTTGGGTAGGGAAACTGTCCTCCTGCTGCAAGGAAGAATTTGGGAAGAAAGGAGAGCCCCCGTCACACATCTATGTGCACACAGACTTGTGCTGGAGGCTTCAGAGACAAGGTCAGACTGAGGTAATCACCAAAGACCACAATGTTTTAAAAAGAGAAAAAGAGCGCTGTCCCGGGTGTCACAACGCTAACCTCATCATTCGTGTCCAATCTTCCAGCTTTGGATGATCTTGTGGCTGCTCTATCATCCCTAACCTTCTCCCCCTTTTCCTCCTTCAGCCAACACTTTTCTTCTATTTGATTTAACACAGACGGAAAAGGGACCAGGCTGTGGTCATCGCACGAGATGGCAGGGGTGCCACAGGTGTGAGCCCCAGGGGCCCGGCGGTGATGAGAGAGCAGTGGCAGGTTCTCACGTGGTGACTTCACTCCTCCCACTGCCAACAGGCTCTTGCATCTCCTGGGCATCTCGTGAAAAGGCAGACCTCTGGGAGGGGTCTGAACACCTGCATTTCTAGCAAGCGTCCAGATGATGCCTGCGCTGCTGGCCCAGCGACCACCCTCTGAGTAGTCAGGAGAGACGGGACCTGGGCTCTAGACTCAGAGACCCAGACGGGACTCTCCATCCTTCCCTCTCATGACTCCACTGTGACCTGGGCCACCAGGTAAGCTTCCTTCCCAGGACAGTCAGGAGAAACGCTTGCCTCACTCAGAGGTCCGGTGGGTCACGGATAAGCATGCAGAGCGCTTAGGATGTAACAATTTCTCAACAAATGGCCATTATGATACTATTATTAATAAGCCCCCTGAGACACGCTTTCCCCGGGCGGCTCAGACACCTGCAACGTTATAAACAATCCCAGTACACCGTCTGAACAGCAGAGCACCTGGTCTGGGCTGCTTTATTACCTGAATAAGGTTTATTACCTTTTTCTGATAATAAACGTACTGCATGCTCATTACAGAATATTTGGAAAATACGAGAGAGGAAAAAACTGAAAACTCCTCAATGCCACAACCAGAGTGAATGAACCATGGTTACCATTTTGGCGTATTTCCTTTAGGGCTATTAGAGGCATAAATACAGAGGTAGTTCAGGTCACAGTGTTGATGATTTGTTTCCTGCTCTTTTCACTTACTATTCTATTGTGAGCATTTTCCCATTTCACTGAATACGTTTTTAAAACATCCTGCTGAGTGCCTGCGCGGCATTCCAATGTCGAAACGCTGGCTTATTTCAGGGCGGGGGTAGGGCTTATAGGGAGCCCGGTGGACTTTTTCTCAGTCTAGCTCCCTCCTTATGTCCAGTGTCAGGGCCAGGTGAGTGGTCCAGGAGCAAAGCCAGCAGGCAGAGGAGGGAGGCCACCTGCGTGAGACCCTGGGTCGCACCAGCCTCTCCCCAGCTGAGCTAAACAGTCCAAGGAACCTGGAAAATGCCAATTAAAAAAATGTTCACCTCCTCTTCATCATGAAAAGTGTTCTTCTACTCGATAATAACGCACTTAAATTTTTTGCACTAATGGTGCTACACGGTTTTTGTTTTTTTTTTTTTTTGGCTGCATTTGGGTCTTCGTTGCTGCGCACGGGCTTTCTCTAGTTGCGGCGAGCGGGGGCTAGTCTTTGCTGTGGTGCGTGGGCTTCTCATTGCGGTGGCTTCTCTTGTTGTGGAGCACGGGCTCTAGGTGCGCAGGCTTCAGTAGTTGCGGCATGCGGGCTCAGTAGATGCGACACGAGGGCCCTAGAGCACAGGGGTTTCAGTAGTTGTGGCCCATGGGCTTAGTTGCTCCGCGGCATGTGGGATCTTCCCGGACCAGGGCTCGAACCCGTGTCCCCTGCATTGGCAGGCGGATTCTTAACCACTGCACCGCCAGAGAAGTCCCCGGTACTTGATCCCTTTTTGCTATTGTAACTGTTCCCCGTGGGCCTCTCTCATTTCCTTCTGATGGACCACACCCCCAGGACTTCACCTGGCCCTGGAGCCCAGAGCCGATGCCTTGGCTAGGATTACCTTGACGGTCTACCGCCCCGTGGACATGCCGGGCAAGGGGGGTGGTTGTAGCCGGGGGTATCAGTGCAGCCCATGTCATGGCTGTACGGGATTCCAAAGTAGTAATCAAACCCTGGAAGAGAAGGAACGGGTTAGGCTGTGAGCCTGCATTCTTACACCCAGGACAGAAATTTAATTTTCCATGATTTAATTCTGCAGTGTTATGGCGTATGTAATTAAAAGAGGATTTGATTAATAGCCCTTTGTAGTGTGCAAGGAAAACACTTTGCTGGGTTCTGGCTGTAAGACTAGATTTGCAAAACATCTTGTGATTAGCATTAACCCTGCGTGGAAGGAAGTGGGGAGAATGTCTTGAACACCTCCTGTTCCCAGTGCGATGATGGACACCGCTGGGGAATATCTGGTGAAAATCTACTACCTGCGTGACACTCTGGGGGATAAAAGAATATACTCTGCCCTCAAGAGGGGGAGGATAAGAAGTAGAGATTTAGCTCTAAGCCCACAAGAGGGATCAGAGGATGAAGTTACCCCTGGATGCTGGGGGTGGGATGTGGTTGAGACAGGAATCTCAAAATGCTTCTCAGAAGAGTTGGCATTTCAGCTGGACGCAGAGGGCTGGCAGGATGGGACTTGAGAGGGTGGAGGGGTATTGGAGGGAGGATGTGAGGGTCAAAGTGAGACCTGAAAACCCTGTGTTGACTTTTTTCTGAGACCCTCCCATATCCCATCTCTTCTCCAGCACAAGCTTCCGTGTGAAGTTTCCCACAGAATTCCCTACTCCCCGCCGAGCCCCTGCTTCAGTGAACCCATCAAACGATTTTTACTTCTTGCCACGCGGGGCCTCACGGGGGCCAAGTGTTCCCAGACACGTGAAGGGCTGGGTCAAGGAGAACACTGATGGCCTCACGACGGGGGAGCCCGAAGGGTAGACAGGCACCGAAGAGGGGGGCCGGGAAAGGTGCCGGGCAAGAGGGAGTGCCAACAGAGGCAACCCTGGCACCTCAAACCCACCCAAGTGAGCCTGTGAACGAAGGTGCCCTGACTCAGGAGAGAGGTCCCTCAGGGGCAGGATGGCTTAAACATTTATAGAGTCCTTTTACACAGAGACCTTTATTTTCTGTTTCCCAGGTAACCAATCCTCCAAAGAATTCTTACCACGGAAGTTGGGGTGATAAGAGCCATGGTGTCCAAGATGCCACTTGCCTGGAGGAAAACGAGAGAGAGAGAGAGACTTTGAGAGGAATCCCCATGGGGGCTCCCAGCCCCTTGGTGGAGCTGATCACACACTCAGGTCTCCACCAGCTTTGCCCTTTCCTGAGCACAAGCAAAGAGAGGCTCACGTGCTGTGTGACAGCCAAGCCTCGTTCTCTGGGGCCGAGAGGGAGTCCCCAGGGAGACAGAAAGCAAGCAAGGATGACTCATGACCCAGGCAGGAAAGCGTGCGGGGGGTAGAGGGGGGGAAGGCGAGCCATTACCGGGAGCCCAGAGAAGTTAGCAGGCTGAGCTCCTGCCCCCCCCAAAGAGGGTGCAGCGCCCACGGCAACGCCCCCGCCAGGGCTCACCACACCTTCCGCTCGGCCCTCCTGCCTGGGGCCCTGCAAAGGACCCAAGGAGCAAGTGCACGGCCCAGACAGTCCCAGAGATGCCGCTCCCGCCTGCTTTCATCACGGTGCTCTGCAGAAGCTGAGCGGGGCGCCGCCTCCCTGCGCCGCCCGAGCCAGGCCCGCAACGAGGAAGCTCTGCCGCAGGGCTGCTCCTGGCGCTGTAAACGCGTTCACTGCGGGGCACGAGGCGAGGCTGGGACCCTCTGACCTGCTCATTCTCTGCTCTCCGGGTAAAGATCCCACAGGGAAGTCACCCACGAGGCAAGGGGAAGAATCAAAAACGCGGGGCAAAGACCAGTACGGCGGCAGCGTGAAACGACGCCAAGGACGGAAAGAAACAGGCAACCACAGGAGTCTGACTCAGTAAGTTATCTCACGTGGCCTCAGTACAATACTTCCAAACCATCTTTTCAAGACACGCGCCTGTGGCCGAAACGAGCAACGGTGAATCGAGGTGAAGGGTATATGGGGGTCTAGGAGTCCCTTCCTGCAACTGGTCTGTAGGTTTGAAACCCAATGTCATAAAAAGTTGAGGGAATTGGATTAAGCTAAGTGGAATGCTTAGATTCAGCATGACGTGGAAATATAAAATTATAGTACACTTTTAAAATTGCTTCTAAAATTATAATACGCGTGTAAAATGATATCACCAGGACATAGAAAATAATAGGAGGGGGAGAAAAGTAGGGCCGAGTGACAACACGTGCAGCTGGGGACAAACACGTTAACACAGAGCAAGATGAGGAGCAAACAATGAGTGGTGTCAGTGGACTCGGTGTCCCCTCAGCAGGCTTCTCATTTGCCCTGTAAGCGCGCTGCTAGGAAGTGCGCGATCTCAACAAGGAGCTACGCTTCAGTACCCTCTCCCAGAAAAGCAAGAGGTGTCACGAGAGGTGAACAGTCGACTTGTAGTCAGTTGCCTGCTTGGGAGTTAAAGGCCTGAAGAAGGAGGGGCAAGCGAGGTCGAACCCAGCTCGAGAAGAATCCAGTGCCCCTGATGCCGCATGAAGCGTTAGGGTCAGAGAGCCCAGGGACCAAAGCCCTCCCGCCCCCCGGGCTGGGAGTCTTACACGGATGCAGGGACAGGGCGGGTGAGGATGCTCAGCCCACAGTGAGAGCCTCAGAATAGTTCGTACCTCCGAGTATGGAGAGAAAGGGGTGAAAAGGAGAGCCGGTTGGGACCTTAATGGTCTCGTCCTCCCAGGACAATGAAGGCCACACTGCAGGGTCTGATCTTCTGCAAAGTTATGTCAGGCTCCTTGACCCAGAGGAGGAGCCAGGCCGACACACCAGAAATGCCAGCTTCCTGCAGGTTAACGGGGAGCCCGGGGCCCCGAGGACAGCCCCACAGGGACCCTCGTTGCCACTTCACGTGGTGGAGGGAGGAGGGAACCCCGCCGGACCCAGCTCTTGGAGAGCCAGGACCCTAAGCACAGGCAGCCTGAGGATGCCGTCGGGATGCTGGGTTGTCTTGGCCTCTGTAGGGGGCACCAGGGGAAACTAGTTCCATACATAGTTTAGTCCCCTGGCAGGTCGTTTCAGTTGCTTAGAGCTGAAAGCATTCCCAACTTTTACAGCAAGAAATGAGCAGAAAAGCGGACACGAGCAGGAGAGGCAGTAGCTCTGCAGACACAAAGCAGCCAGCGCAGAAATTGCACGGGGACGGGGGTCTGGGCGGTGGAGGCCACGTTACCAATCAACCCGGTGACGTAGCCAGCCCGCTGCAGCACTTCGGCCAAGGTGGTCTCGTTGAGTGGAAGGCCCCCCACAGAGGTGACCGCAAAGTTGTGAGGGACTCCATTGCGGAGGCCAAGCCGGCCGGTGAGCAGGGCGGCCCGGGAGGGCGAGCAGGTGGACGCAGCCGCGTGGAAGTCCACAAACCTGCGCGGAGAGGAGAGCGATGGGGGTCGGCCTGACCACAGAAAGCCGAGCCAAGAGAGATTCAATTCCTGGGGTTCCAGCGCTGGGGAAAAGCTCCAGGATCAGCCAGTCGTGGGACAGGTAAAGAAAATGAAGCCCAGAGACGCGTTATGTGACTAACCCAAGGTCACACAGCTGATTCGAAGGGATTTAATCCAACATATTGAACGGATCCCCTTTATTTGCAGATTCCACATTTTATATTCACCTACTCACTTAATGCATCTGTAACCCCAGAAATCAACACTCGTGGCTCTGAAGGGATAGTTCACGGATATACGCAGACCTGTGAAAATTTGCACGTTTCCAGCTGAGGTTGGACAAGGTGACCTTCTTGTTTGGGCTCTCACAGATTCAGTGTTCACAGGGACGTTATAGAACATCACCACTGCTGACACAAGAGCTGACTATCTATTACTCCTTACGGTAAGCCCAGCCCTTTTTCAGACACTATGGAGAAACAGAGAAGTCTAGCCATTTTCTTACCCTCAAGGAACGTGAGTAAATTGAATGTCACTGATGAAGGGGCAACCTGACTTCATGTGTCTCCTGATGGGATGCGATATGAATTCATAACACCAAGGATTCTTACCGAAAACGTTTAACCTGGATCTAGTCAGACCTAATTTCCACATTACAGGGGAAAAAAAGCTAATGCAAGACCAAATTAAATGACCCCACAAGAAAAGACTTTACCAAACCATTCTCTAGACGTTCGATAAGACAACCAGTCCCATCTCTTCAAACAGTCGACATCTGAGGGAACAATGGGATGGACGGGGCGATATTGTGCATAAGGGAAGACTAAAGAGATAGAACCAAGTGCAATACATGAATCTTACTGGATTCCAGTTCAAAAGAGCTGGCAACACATCTGAGGGCTAATTAGGGAGGGAAATTTAACATGAACTGGATATAAAATGATATTAGGGGATTATCGCTCATTTTCAGGATTATGGCCATGCGGGAGAATGTTTCTATTCTTTTCCTTCTGGTTTTAGTGAGATATAATTGACACATAACCTTGTACTAGTTTCAGGGGTACAACATCATAATTTGATATAAGTGCATATTATGAAATGATCACCACAGTAAAGTTTAGTTAACATCTGTCACCTCCCACAGTCACAAACTTTTTTCCCGTGATGAGAACTTTTAAGATCTCCTCTCTTAGCGACTTTCAAATACACAAGACAGCATTGTCGACGCTCGTCCCCATGCTGTGCATTGCATCTCATGACTTACACCCAGAGGTCGTCACCACCTTCACCCATTCTTCCCCACCTCCGAAACCATCCTCCATACTGATGCAAATGTCCTTCCACAGTGGGAGTCGGATCACACCAGTCTCTTACTGGAAAACACAATCTCTCTCTGCCTGCTTCCCGGAGCTCAGCCGCTGCCCCCCTCCTGCCCTGAGCTGCTTCCTCACATCCTCCCAAGCCCCCACTTACTCCTGTCCGCTGTGCCTTTGCCCATGCTCCTCCCCCACTCCCCAAACCCTTCCCCTAGTGTCCCACCTTATCTTGACTGACCAGTCCCAGTCGTCTTCAAGACGCCCGCCGCTCAAAGACTCAGATGTTACCCCCCCAGGTCGCCCTCCCTGCCTCTCCCTGCCTCTCCCCCAACCCCCCAATCTGCACCTCCCCCCCGCCACGTGGAATCAAGGCCCCCTCTTCTCTACGTGATTATATAGCCTTTGGCATCTCCTTTACAACACTGAACTCTAATTCTTTGTTTTCCTGTTTGGGGCAGCTTCCAGATGGCCACGAATCCGTGGATAGGCCTCCCAGTGACAGGCGGGGCCTGAGGTCTCCCCGCCCTTGACGCTGTGAGTGCTTTGAGCCCCAGAGGATGTGAAGGTGACACTGCACCAGTTTCTGGGCTCAGCCCTCACGAGACTGGTAGCTTCCACCTCCTCCCTGAAAACACTCTGTGAGCCGCTGGGTGAGAAATCGACTCCCCCAACACGGCCCAGCTGGACAGGCCATCTGTAGGTGCTCCGGCCAATGACCCCAGCTGAGGCCACTGCGTCTAAACGTCACACGTGTGCGTGAGGCCACCCTGGACCTCCCAGCGCAGCCATCTGCCTGCTGAATTTCACCAGAGCCGCCTTGGTCAACACAACAAGGTAAAGAATCACCCAACCGAGAGATGCCTGAATTCCTGACCCTCGGCATCATGAGACGTGATAAAATGGTGGTTGTTTTGAGCTGCTGACTTTGGGGATGGTTTGTCACTCAGCAGTTCACCACCAGAGCAGCATCTGTCTCCCACTGGACCATCCTCTCCTGACCATTCAGTCCTCAGCCCAGCACGAGGTGGGCAGCACCCAGCGCATGTGGAGAGGGTGACGCCACCGTACTCTTTGCTTTTGTACAACATGGTGAGTCTCTGCTAAAGAGACCTGGGCCTCAGTCCCAGAGGATGGGTGAATTCACAGAGCGGTGACACGCACCGAGAGGTCCCAGCGATGCCCGTCTGAAAGCGCTGGCCCAGCCCTGAAGCTGTGCTCTTCGAGCAGACGTGCGATGCCTCCATCTGACAGAATGAGGGCAGGGGAGCGAGGTGCTCCAACGCTCATGCTGGGTCTGCAGGTGCTGGGCGAGGCCTCCCTCCAGCCTCGGGGAGCTCCAGGGCCCCCGACTCTGGCTTCACACCCCTGCCAGCACTTCCTTCCTGTCCCTCCGTCCCCTGGGGCTGGAAGTAGCACGTGCAGCCTCCCTTCTGTCCATCGGTTGCTGGTCCCCTGGGTAATTTCCCAGGCACCGGCTTCTCTCACAGCATCCCCAGCTGCCCACATACTGGGGCCTCAGGGAGTTCAATTCCTGGGGCAAAATCCAGGATTCTGGATGTTGCATGTAGCTGGCAACCGCTACCCTTGGAATCCCAAACTGAGCTCCACTTCAATGTTCATACTTTTCTCCCAAGAAAACGTTCATTTGTACCCAGCCTCTTCTGTTCTTTTCCTCCCAAGATTAAAGCACAAACATCCTCCTAGATCACACTCCTAAATGTTCCTTATAATAATGACTACTGGGACTTCCCTGGTGGCGCAGTGGTTAAGAATCCGCCTGCTAATGCAGGGGACACAGGTTCGAGCCCTAGTCCGGGAAGATCCTACATGCCACGGAGCAACTAAGCCCGTGCGCCACAACTACTGAAGCCCACGTGCCATAGAGCCCGTGCTCCACAGCAATAGAAGCCACCTCAATGAGAAGGCTGTGCACTGCAATGAAGAGTGGTCCCCGCTCGCCGCAACGAGAGAAGGCCAGCGTGCAGCAACAAAGACCCAACGCAGCCAAAAATAAATTAAGATAATAACAATGACTACTACTATGACTAGATTACTACTACGTTACTACACACCCGGCAACTTTTATTACTCTCACAGCTAACGCTCAAGCTCCTAGAATCCAGGCACTTCTCTAAGTCATGAGCACCCACTGTCCCTGGACTCACTCTGGCTTGCAGGTGTAGTTCTGTGGGGGTTTATCCACAACAGTGGGAGCAGCTGCACAGTTTGCAGGCCCGGAGGAAAATGCAAATGCAAAGGCCCTGATTCAGAACCTACCAAGCATTTCAGGATGGCGACAGCAGAGCGTTAACCCACCATCCACACCGCGGTGCGGGGCTGAGCAGCGCTCAACCCGCCCAGCTGCACGCGGCAGCCCTGCTCCCCATTTACATTTGCTGCCCCCAGTTCCTCCTCTCCCAGTTTTCCATGGGGCGGCCAAAGTCATCTTGAAAACTGTTTACCAGCTAACATTATTCCTGGCTGGAAACCCACAAATAAGTCCTCATTGCAATTTAGGTAAACCCAAAGTCACGGTCGTGGTCTACAGGCTCTCCAGCAGAGCTTCTCAAGCAGGGAGCTGGATGGAGCACACAGATACAGCCAAATATTGATAGCCAGTAGGTTTTCTGAGATCCAGCTCCTCCCAGCCCCAGGGGCAGCCAGGCGGGACCCCGGGAAACTGGAGGTTCCTGGGCATCCGTGCCCTGCACAGTCCCAGGGAAGTAATCCCATTAGAGCAGAGAACGGAGAGAGCCCTGCAGGTGCGGCGCCAGGCATCCTTGTTAGAGTCCCACGCTGGCCACCTCCAACCACCAGCAGCCTGGGTGGAGCTCCTTGGAACGGGGTGCAAGGATCCTGACAGTGTGCGGAAAGGTGGGAACTCCACGCCCAGGGGATCTGGACCCAGGCATCATCATCCCTATTCCCACCCCGGTTCCCCCCAGCAGCCACACCACCCAGAGCGGCTCTACCTAGGTCACCCCGAGCTTGTCCCTGCCTCAGGCCCTTTTCATGTCCCCTCCGTCTGGAAGGCTGTGTTCTGGTCTCCGCATGACGGGCCCCTTCTTTTCATCCGGGTCTCAGCTCTCATTTCACCTACTCAGGGAGGGCTTTCCTGACCTGACCACTCCCCACTGCATCACTGCTCTATCCTGTCTTGAGCCTTTCTCCACTCGGACCTCACCTTGCTCATGGACTGGTCTCCTTGCTCGCTGCCCGGCTGCCCCTCTAGAGCGGAGTCCCCGAGAGCCTGGGTGTGTCTGCCCGCTCCCACCGCCGCCCCCGCCCCGGGGGGCTGGTTCCCGACCTCAGGAAGGCGGGTTCTCTGATTTGGGCAGCTGGAGTCCTGCACTCCACCAGTGAGATGGCTCTTCCCATCTTGGGGCTTCCTCGGCCGGGTTCCCTGCGGGAACCAGACTTTGAGACGCTCCCAGTGGACATTCATTCCTGCCCTCACCCGTCTGTGCCTCTCGACAGATACACACGCGCGTCACCGCTCAGCCCAAACCCTTCACTCTGAGCTGCTGGTCTTAGTTCCACCAGCCATACCTGGCGGAAGGACGGCAGGGAGGGGACCACAGCCCTCTCCATCAGAGGCTTACACTTCAGCAGAGGGTCAAGACCTATGTGGGTAACCAGACAAAATAAGATGAGCCCGGCCAGA